TATAGTAATTCGGAATGGTTATAGAAGTAGCAATCGTTTTCACAAAAATAGAAATAAAAAAATGTTAAAAATAGTAGTAACGATTAAAAAAAGAATTCATGATTCAAAGAAGAATCGAATTTATAAGAAATGAAAAAAGATAGGTATAAAGAACTATCTTTCAAAAAACGAGTAACCAGCATCCACGCATAGAGACGTTGGACAACAATAGCAGCGGCAGCAGTTATAAATCCTATTAGTTTATCAATAAATTAGGTTTTTATTTCATACCATAACAGTTAACTTATGCCAAATTATAAGCGTTTTGACGTGTGTCATAAGTAGCGATTTCAGCATCCATTCCATGAAGAACGGGCAAAGAGGCAAAATAAGACGAAGAAAAATTTTTTAATGTTTTTTGAGTCAATGTGAGCATTTGAGTCAATGTGAGCATTTGAATTAATTGCGAGTAAAAGCGTTGGTATCAGAAACTGAGCATTAAATACTCGACGAAACAAATACTAGCTATAAATGCTGTTAAATAATTTACCCGTCACAAGAATTCAAAGCTGCGCATAAACAACAAATGGGTTTTCATTGTGCGCAGTGATGCGCAGTTTTTACGCAGTCATTTTCAAGGAACTTACAAGGAATTTCACATGCACACGTATAACGGTGATTCAAGCCACAACTGATTTATATAAAGGTTGCCTTTTTATATCGTTATCAAAAACTATTCCTGTTTAAAAGATTTATTATTCGGACCCCTATTTGATGCGGTTCGATTTGTCACTCTCCTGATGAAAAGAGAAAACAAGCAAAATTAATCTCTGCTAGATGTTGAATTAAAGCAAAGTAAGGATTACAATTTATCTTTGGTTACTTTTCGTTGTATTTTCTTATTCATCTATTGAATTGTTATTGACCTTTCCAGGATGTAAAAAAGAACGAGAGATCGAACGAACGTTTCCGCGAATAGACGGATTTATAATTTATGAAACTTCACCTTCTATTCGAGCGGTGTTTTTCTCTCTCCATAGTATTCGCTATTATCTAAAAACATATTTCGATAAACTATTATTGTTTTTAGAAGAAAGCCAACCTCATCTTATGAATATATTAATTTCGAAAATTCGTACAGAGTGAATTAGTTCCGACAATTAAATTAGAAGTAGCAATCGTTTTCACAATTTTTAAATTGTTTCGTTAAATTTCAAGTCGATTCGTAAAACATGTTTTTTTAATCGTAGTAATCAATCGTTTTCACATATTTAGCAATAAACGTTTTTCCTAGAAAAGTTCAATGATCATCATGCATAGCATGAAAGTTGGAAAAATACATGCTTTATCACCAAAAAAAGAAAAGACAAAAATCAGCTGTTAGTGAATTGACAGTCTATAATCCGCAAAGACGTAACTTTTTTTGATTTGAACATTCGCAATCCAGATATCAAATGTTACGTCATCATAAAGATATGCTGATATTATTACATTTAATAAATGATTTGAATTCACGTTAATGTAACGATAAATAATCTTAACCAATAAGAATTGTGATTAAGCACAATTTGAGTAACCTCCGCGGGTGCAACGGCAAGTTCCAGTGACTAATCTCTCCACAAAGTTATACAAGTTAGCATTTCCCCAAAACTCGTATTCTGAAAACCAACGCTGAATAGATTACAGAAAAAAAAAAAAATGCCGCCTCAACTTCCGATCGATATCCTTCCTGAAATATTGCGACATTTTGTAGGGGAACTTGGTAAGTAAAATGACCGAGCACTAGGTCAAAGAGAAAAAGTTTACCGGGTCATTTGATCAAAGAGGAGGTCCCATTAAAGAGTAGAATGAATTAAAAATACAAAAGTTCACTAAGCCTGGCTAAAGAAAGTACAAAAAAGGAATACACATCTTTCTTGAGGCCATAGAGTGCCAAAAGCACTTTTACAAAGTATTTAAGCTCTCAATTCTGTGTTACAAGATCAATAACATACTAATACAATAATGTTGCATATTCCCACGGGCTACCTTTGATAATATTCAATCAATCAATTAGACGAGCAAGAAATCTTACACAACCTACTATTTGTCAATCGAACATGGTGTCAGCATTCTCTACCCCTTTTATGGACTAATCCATTCCTGCTATGTCAACAACCAGAGAATCGTGCTAAATTGGTGGAGACCGTGCTCGGTTGTCTCTCTGATGATGATAAAGGGTACTTTGCACAACGCAATCCTGATCTACCAATTTACCCTCGTCCGTCGATCGATTATTCCAAGTACATCACCATACTAGAGGAGAAGAATGTGATCGAAGCAGTCAATAATTGGTTTGATAAAACCATAAAAGAGAAAAGAGAAAAAGCTGCTGCTGCTGCTGCCGCTAGTAGTAGTAAGACGGGGGCTGTTGTTGGTGGAGCTGATGTCACCACGATCGAGACAGACACAGAGATTGATAACGATAATGAGGTCATAAATGATACAAGCAAAAGGGAAAATGAACGAAAATACGAGGCGACCGTGTTAAGTGCCATGTTATACAAGATGTTTGTTGAACGAAGTAATAATATTAAATGGTTTAACCTCGATTGTGATGCTATTAACGCCAAATGGTACGATGGCACGATCACTCATCAAGATTACATGGCTGATAAAATCTTGGAAGCGGTCGCAAAGCATCAACAAAGTCTTACACGTCTTGCCGTCGCTTTTAACAGTGGTCCAAACAATCCTGATACTCCTGCTCTTTCCAAATTGGTGGTCGAATGTATTAAAGTCCAAGGAAGATTCTTAAACGATTTTGTTATTGAGAATGCGGGTGGTGATGAATTTGCAGAAATGCATTATGCACTAAAACCTCGCGCTAATTCATTGAAACGTGTCGGCTACACACAATGCGATTTCGCCAAATTCCCATGGGCTGTTGGAATAGAGATCCTGTTGCAGGTTGAAGAATTATACTTTATTGCTTGTACGAACCTTCGTGATAGTCAATTGAAACAACTAGAAGGTCGGATGGAGAAACCATTCCCTGAATTTTATTACTATGTTCTTAAAGGTCTTGAGTAAAAAAAAGAGAGAGATTGTACTTAATTTTAGCATTCTTCTTTGTTTTTTACATTGGATAATCAAGATATTACACATTGTAATAGCTTATTATTACATTTTTTATTAGTACTTAGAATTTTGAGATTTATTCTTCCTTACATAGCTAATATTCCATTTTTTAAAATAATTGCCGTGGTTATATAATAAATGATTTGTTACCCTGCTTTAGAATCTTAAAACTAACCTTCTAATATTAGCATCAGTTCAATAAATACCTTCATTTTTGTATATTGTAGAAATCAATATCAGCGTCACATCATACGCATTTACTTGTATGTTTCCCAAAAAATTTGAGCAGCCCAAATCCAATCAATAATTTTACGTGATAAACAAGATTAAGCATGTGATCATCACACTTTTAAATTATTTGTCGATAGAATTATCGGCTCCTAAAACTTGGACTGCCAAAATTGACAATCAGGCCGATTTATAATAATAATAATTGGTTATTTTAAATAAAACAAATGAACTCCTTGTCTTTACATTGAAATTTCAATAAGTTGTGATATGCTTAATCTGAACTAACTAAACTAACTTGCTATCAATAGAGGTCATCATCATCATCACGTTCAACAAAACGAAAAAAAAGGTCACATACTAAATTTCATCTCCTTGCACACGCTTTCGTTTTCTGGACGAGGTTTGTTTGTTCTCACAATCATCGCAATACCATTTTCCCTTTGGTACTTTGTCCAATCCTACACACTCAATGTGGAACCATTCGTATGAACAGTCCTAGAAAATCGATTGATTAATTCATTGTCCTTGCGTGATTAACTTTTAAATAGGAAAAAAAATTACCTCGCCATCACATCCTATCATGGTGCCAAAAAATCCTTGGTTACAATAGCAGTATGTTGACTCCAACTCTGGTAGTGGTGGAACACTGTTCATTCAAAAAAATCATGTGTTGAATATCATTATTATTAGTATTGTTGTTGTTATAAATCAAGCGAGCGTAACAATTACTAGTTCAATATTATGAAGTGTCGATCCAATACCTTGTTACCGTTTTTTTCTTTCCTCCGAATATATTTTTTGAATTCATAAAAGATACATTTCCCGATGTATCCGAATACTCAGGAAGGGTGTGATCCGGGAAAAATGCGGCAAAGTCGTCATTAATCTGTTTTGAATAACGTTTTACCTTTTTCCAAAGATAAGAATAAATAATTTTGATCATCATCTTGATAATCTGTGGATTATAGCAAGAATAAAGTGCTTACCAAATTCAAGGCTTTCGTGACTAATGTACATTTCACTTCCGAAAGCTCGATGGCCTTTTCGTAACCATTCCCAATTATTTCTTTTAATTTCTGCTCTTTTTCTTGTTGATGTTGCTTTTTACCCCGAATATCAGACTCTTCTTCGAGTCGTCGCCTTTTGTTCGAGGGTTGTGATGTGTCTTCTTTGTTGTCGTCGCATTGATTTTCGTTAATCTCATCTTCGTCATCCGACTCGGTATCTTCATCATCTTCATCGCTATCTTCAGATAATGTTCCGTCCATCAAATCCCATAATTTCTTCTCAATAATTCTGTTCCTCTTTAGAATTTCTGATAATCATTGAGATATAAAGTGCATAAGTCACATTCTTCTCTTAATCCACGAAAGAAGAGTATAGTAGTAATAAATCTACCTTCGACTTCATGATCATTTTTTTGTAGCTCAAGAAAAATATCATGAATCTCTGGCGAAAGGTAAGAAATATCTATACGATAAATATATAAACAACATGATCACAATGAAAATTGGTTAATTCCTGCAAAATGTGCCGAATTCTTTCTAGAAACAGTATACCATTTAGAAATCCTTGTAGGTATTCGTTCACGTCGGCGTCAATGTCAAAGTCAGACATCATAAAAAGTTATTTGAAGAAGGTATATAAAAAGTGTGAAGTGTGTGTAAAGTTTGAAAGAGTCGCGAGTATATAAAGTTTAATAATTAGTGCGAAGTATTATATTGGTCGCGTCAAAAGTGAACAAATACAGTGAGTGATACACAATTGGTAATTAATACATAAATCATCTCGTGTCACAGGATTATTACAATGTGTAATTTTTGTAATTTTGATAATGCTGTAGAAATTACGGGTTCACTTTAACATTATCAGTATTAACAGCGTACATTTTTTTTTTCAACGTTTGCCAACGATTATAGCAACCACCACGACCACGCTCCGGGAACTTTTCTGACGCGATTGCCGCCCAAGGAACCTCGACAAGATGAGAAAGTACCGCGTCGATAAGTTGATTATCCTGCTCGGGTGTCCATGCGCTAGAGGGTTTCCTCCCAATTTTAGAGGTACTTGATTCTTTATTAGAAGTAAGAGTGGATGTAGTGGTACTAACGTCAGATGCGATCGTTTTTGATTTTTTCGAGACATTTTTCTCAGGTAAAGATTCACGCGGCTTGCATTTTGATCCGCGTTTTTTGGAAATAGATATCTGGGACCAAATAAATTATTTTCATTGTTAGAGAATTGGCAATGCAAGAATCCTTGGTTTGGTACCTTAGATTCCTCTATAGCGATTCGTAATGTATCCAAGGGTTCTTGTTTCATTTTGTATTCGCTCATTTGTTTTCGTATATTTTTATTTGCATTAGAAGATTATGTATTTTTTGGTTTTTTGCATGCGAGAACACCTCCTTTTTATTTAAAACGATGGTCTGTCTATTACTATGATTATTCTTGCTACTACATAAAACGTCTTTTAAACAGGTGGGCTAATTGACAGATATATTGTTAAGTTTGTTATACACCCAGGAACGAACGTCCTTCTCAAGTTACTTTTATGTCTCCTGCCAAATATAAATTGATGATTTTGCAACAATAGGTTTGTCATGCACTGAAAGATTAATTATTTGATAAATTTACCGTTGAGATATAACGATGATGAGGATATTGCATTTCGTGATTTCACATCTTCAAGTCAAAAACCTCGTGAATTTATTTACTTTGTTGGGGATGTAAATTTTTTGCTCGAGAATTCCGACACAAGCTCTATATTGTCTTCACGAGACGCAGTTCATTTTAGAAATCTAATTTTAGCTCTCAAGGTGTGACCAATCTGGATAAACCCTGAAAAACAAAAGGATTTTTTTCAAGATAAACGGCACTAAAAAAAATATTTATTTTTATCATTCAATACATATACACATCTCAAACGTTTGCATAGTGGTATTGAGATTGTATTTAAAGTCCTTACTAAGAAACCCGAAAAAAACACAAAGTAACGATGGCGCCACAACTTCCTATTGACATCCTGCCGGAAATCCTGAAGCATTTTGTTGACGAACTCGGTAATTATTTGCATCTTGCGCTTGGGAAAGCGAAATCGTAGTCGTGTGATGGTTCTTCAACATATTAAAACAGGAAAATACATGTCTTTAGGTCATATTTGAAACTAAACACTTATTTTTCAATCCTTCCCGACTTTTAGATGAA